TAATATTAATTTATTATATATATGTATAATATATATATATATATATATATATATATATATATATANATATATATATATATATATATATATGTATATTATATATACATATGTATATATAATATTATATGTATATATATATATATATATATATATATATGTATATATATATATGTACATAGATATATGTGTGTATATGTATATATATATGTATGTATGTATGTATGTATGTATGTATGTATATATACGCGCACACATATTGTATATTTCTATGTATATAGTATATATGTATGTATATGCCTACAAATATGAAGGGACGAATTATATATACTTGTATATTACATATTTATTTGTATGTTTGCAAGTACGTACGTACATATGATGCAAACGAATATATATATATATATATATATATGTATATGTATATATGTACGCCTACATTCATAAACGTGTGTGTATTTACGGATTATATTATTTATAATTTTGTTTGTATGTATGCACGTACGTACGTATGATGCCAACGAACATATATATATATATATTTGTATGTATGTATTTATATAGGTGTTTGTGTGTGAGTGTTCGTGTGAAAATATTTTGATTTATGCATGTATGTATGTATGTATATTTATACATTTCAACACACACATTTATATGTATATATATATACATATGTATTTGTATATGTCTACATATAAAACGTGTTTATATTTACGAATGTACATATGCATTCGTATGCATATATATACTGAATTATATATATCTGTATATATACTGAATTATATATATATATATATATATATATCCCTGCATGACGTGCTTGATTACATATGGGTATGTGAGTGTCATCTTTATTAGTATACATACGCTAAATAAATCTATGTAAGCACACAAACTCATTATCGTTGTGAATTCCAAGCATTGTCACGAATATTGTATCAGGCATCACCTGATATGTACTGTCAATCCGCTGGCATGTGAATTTCAACTACTCGCTGGGTATAGACAGTATCATCTCGCCGCGCACGTGGAGTGTTACTTTCCCGTTTTGTCTGCTATCTTAGTTGGTTATTCATAATTTCACACCATGTAATACATTGCAGGAGAATGAGAAACAGATGAAAGCCGTCGTTGATGAGCTTTATGAACGTATCGCGACTGTGCGTGAAGGCGGTGGTGCAAAGTCAAGAGAGAGGCACGAGTCACGTGGTAAAATGTTACCACGAGACCGTGTAAATGGTCTACTCGATCCCAACACATCCTTTCTTGAACTAGGTCAACTCGCAGGCTGGAACATGTATGGAGAGGATGTGCCCGCTGGTGGTATAATCACCGGTATCGGACGCGTTTCTGGGTATGTTGTAGAATATTAAATTTTGACGCTCTGGGGGAGGGGGGTTGGGTGTTGTGTCTCTATATGCTTGCATACAGAAGTGCGATCAAAATTAGTCAGTTAATTAGCTATTTATGTCAATCTGTGCGCTTACATTATATAATGCTAAAATTACCTAGGACGGAATGTATGATTGTGGCAAATGACGCGACGGTGAAAGGAGGAACGTATTATCCCATCACTGTGAAGAAACATTTGAGAGCGCAAGAAATTGCCATGGAGAATCGGCTACCCTGTATCTACTTGGTAGACTCTGGTGGTGCTAATTTGCCTCGTCAAGCAGATGTATTTCCCGATAAGGAACACTTCGGACGGATATTTTTCAACCAGGCGAACATGTCGGGCAAGGGAATTCCGCAGGTATTTTTTTGAGCTGGTATCTCGTTCCACTGCTGGCAATTTTGGAACGTATGCATGAGAATTTATTCGCTCTCGAGTACATATTGGCACCCACATCAACGAATTGTTCCCGTGGAATACGGCATTCGTATATATATATATATATATATTATTTGAGCGTCTGTCAGATTTTTCTATGACCTATGACTGATATTATCTCTCTTTTGCCTTTAGATTGCAGTTGTTATGGGATCGTGCACGGCTGGAGGTGCATATGTTCCTGCAATGTCGGACGAATCAGTGATCGTGCGGAACCAGGGTACTATTTTCTTGGCCGGACCGCCCCTAGTCAAGGCAGCGACTGGCGAGGTGATTTCTGCCGAAGCCCTCGGCGGCGGCGACATGCATAGCAAGTATGTTGTTTGTATGCTGTATCATTGAAATAGTGCATTTAACTAGGCATTTGCCGTGTGCATGTGTGACGCGATCGATAAGAAGATCAATAATATTCTTTTTTATATTTGCATTATTCGACAGTTGATGTTGTAGTGGCTTCTTGCATCTTACAGCATAGTAGCTTTAGCAGGAATTGTATTTTGAAACGCGTACATTTCACGATGTAAATTTGTCTTGGCCGAAAACTGAGAGGAAACATTATAGATTTTATCGGATAAACTCTGCAGCCAGTAATTTACACAATAGTCAAAATGCAACCATGTTAGTTTTACTGAAGAAGATGCCCACTCGCTGCAACAAGCTACAGCATACGTATTTAATACACATGTGTTGTCCACGCTGAAGAGAAGCATGTTTCTGCGAGGGGGTGCTGTATCGAATTCCATCAATGGAAGTGGGAAGTTTGCTGGGGAAACTGTCAACTGGCGTACCTCAATATTGAAGCTTGCTGTTCTCAATGACGTTTTTGTTCCCTTTGGCTCTTTCCCATCTTTCAGAATCTCAGGTGTGGTAGATCACCTGGCTGATAGTGACGCACATGCCCTCTCGATTGCCAGGCGCATCGTTTCAAATCTCAATGTGTCGAAGAAACCAGAGGTATGGTGATATATATGGGCTGTGTTCTTGATCATATGAATTACAGACAGTATATGTCACAATTGTGCACGTACCCACTTTTAAACATTTAGTGTTACTAACCGTTCAGGTGTCGATCAAGGAAGTCGAGGAACCTCTCTATGATGCAAGTGAACTCTATGGTATTGTTGGCACGAACAACAGGAAAACTTATGACATCCGACAGGTATGCTCCCAACTAGATGCCGATACTATAACCTTCACGGTTTGTTTGACAAGAATTATGTGAAGCTCTCGTTGTCCTCATTAGGGTCATTAATTCTCTCTTCATAGGTCATCGCGCGCATCGTAGATGGAAGTCGTTTTGATGAATACAAGAGCAACTATGGAACCACGCTCGTTACAGGATTTTCAAGGCTGTACGGCTACCCCGTTGGAATCGTTGCGAATAACGGTATGGACTTTCGATTCAATGGCATTTCCGTATCAAAGATAATATCCGACATCCACTAAGGCTCTCGCGGCACTAGAGACCAAATACGACGCAAGTTTATCGATTATTCTTCAATGATTTTCAAATTGTGTATACAAACCAAAGTATTCGCTTCTTGCTGTCAATCACAGGTGTACTATTTAGCGAAGCCGCACTGAAGGGAGCCAACTTTATCGAGATTTGTGCGAAGAGGAAAATCCCTCTCATCTTCTTGCAGAATATCACTGGATTCATGGTGGGTGGTCAAGCGGAAGCAGGGGGCATTGCGAAGAATGGCGCAAAGATGGTCACTGCAGTGTCTTGTGCTAAGGTGCCAAAGCTAACGGTGCTCGTAGGAGGTAGCTTCGGAGCAGGCAACTATGGAATGTGTGGTCGTGCCTACGGTCCCCGCATGATGTACATGTGGCCCAATTCACGTATAGGTGTGATGGGAGGAGAACAGGCCGCAGGGGTCCTCGCTCAGGTTAAGCGTGATCAAATTGAACGGAATGGAGGGGAATGGACGACAGAGGAGGAAGAGGCATTCAAAGCTCCTACACTCGCTAAGTACGAAGAAGAAGCTTCGCCATACTACAGTAGTGCCAGGTTATGGGATGATGGTGTCATTGATCCTTGTGATACCCGAAAAGTACTTGGGCTATCCCTTAGTGCTGCGCTAAACGCGCCCATAGAGGACACTGATTTTGGAATCTTCAGAATGTAAAGGTTGTTACCGTGGGTGTTAGCAAACTTGATATTGATAGCGCAATTGTGCTTTGACAGAATAAGCATTTAGCAACTATTTTTCTGTTGCTGCGGAAAAATTGTCTCGCAGCAGGTGCAGTGTATAAACATAGATATCAGTATTGCATATTAATTTTGTACAGTTTTTTTATGCAAAGCATCACAGCGAATGATCGTGTTGCTGTTGTAAGTCCTGTGACGTAGGTGGTTTTTATTTGTTGTGCATATGTATAGTATGATCAGCGCAACTACAAGCTCGAAATTCATCCTCTCGCTGTGAGAGACAGGTCCCAGTTGTGCACAAGTTTCAGTGCTGACAGCGTTTTCGAATTTTTTGTATTTGAAATGTTTAACTGGTGCGATTCATCGAATTCAGTAGGTCACCATTCAATTTAAATTCAAACATGATCCGCTTGGAGACTGAAGTATCAAACCCTGTATACTTGCGTATTTCGTATTTCTTTTGAATTATGTAGCCAAATTCTTACGCTTATATTTAGCTTCAACATCAGTCAATTAGTGAGTGGTGCAGCTATGTGCAAGTATCACTACTTTCGCGCAACCAGGTTGTATACATATGTGACCGTATCTATCATAGTTCCTTAGGGGAGCGATATTCTTGTTACAAATATAGGGGTAGTGCCTCGTTAAGGGTAAAAAAGACTGCATGGAGATGGACTGATAACGATGCTTGCTTCCTCCAAATCGAGTTCGTGCGTTGTGTACCATGTGGTAACTGTACACGTTATATATCGAGCGTATATGTATTCCACGTAGGGCAAGACTCTGGAGTCTGCACTTTAAGAAGGCCGCAGACAGGATACAATACAGCCCAACAAACATCACATACATTTATACAAACATCACATACATCTATAGCAAACATCCCATACATTTATAACAAACATCACATACATCTATAACAAACATCTCATACATCTATAACATCACACACGTGCATACCCTTCAATCAAACAATCAGATTGTTTCAGTATGTCAGGAGGGGCGCTAGCGAGTTGTTTTAAATTATATATATATATATATGCATACTTGCATTCATACATACATACATAAATACATACGTATGTATGTATGCATATATGTATGTAATATATATATATACATATATATATATATATATATTTAATACTTTTGATCGGTGCGTTTGTTTGATGACGAAAATGCATGTACTGTAGATACACTAGGGTAAGCAGTTGGAGCTATTTGTGGGATATTTGTTTCCTCCCTGGTGCCAGATAGCGTACGCTGGCCTGAGGGTAGTTTGTTTAGTAAGCAGCTTCGACGCAGTAGAAACCCTCTCTGCTACATGGCATGATCCTCGTGATCTCTTCTTGCTCGTACTTAATTTCTTCCCCTTTCGTTTACCATCTACTGAGTTGGTAGTAAATTAGATAGTTGTATCATACTGCCGCCTTACGTATACGCTTATATGATGCTCCCAAAGTCAAAGTTTATATAATTGCTGTTTACTTGTACTACACTGAACACAACTGCACTAAACGCACACGTACATA